CCCCAGTGCGGGGGACAGTGCAGGTCGGTTCGGGAGGTGAGATTTGTGAGCCTAAAGGGTTGTAGGCTGTTCACAGTCTTGGCGACTCAGCTTTGCGACATCCTCAGATACACTTGGATACACCTGCTGCATCCAAGTTGCTGGTGCCCTAAAGCACTTTCCTCATCCACCGAGTGTCTCTGAGGCCAATTACATCTTAGAATGGTCTCTTGAGCTCTGTTTCCTCCTGCCTACTGTCCCTGGTCTTAGTTAACACCTGGTCTTAGCACTGGTCTTCTGGTCTCCTTCTTCTCCAGTCTGTTTCACTTCCCACAAAACAAACACAGCCCACTTTCCCCTCTACTTGGAAAGCCCTGCTCTCTAAAGGATGAAGTCAGAACTCCTGATAAAAGGGCTCCCCATCTGCCCTGACCGGTTTGGCTCAGTGGCTAGAGTGTCGGCCTGTGGACTGAAGAGTCCCAGGTTTGATTCCAGTCAAGGGCATGTACCTTGGTTGCGGGCACATCCCCAGTAGGGGGTGTGCAGGAGGCAGCTGATGGATGTTTCTCTCTCATGGATGTTTCTAACTCTCTATCCCTCTCCCTTCCTCTCTGTAAAAAATCAATAAAATATATTTTTAAAAAAGGGCTCCCCATCGAACCCTAAAGCACTGCTCCGTCCCAGCTTCCGCCACACACAGGCCTCCTCCCAGTTCTCCACAGACCCTGGCCTGTCCCCGAAGAAGGCCTTTGCCTTCCTCAGCCTGGAATGCACTCCACAGCTTGCAGACCATTTCTTAAACATGGGCGATGTGTGTTGTTGCATTAGGCCAAGTAAGAGAGACTATAAATTATAGTAATGCCATCTATTATCACCTTGATTTCACAAGAGAAAGAAAAACTGCAACACTTCCGCAGTGGAAAGTATGTCATCTCAAACCAAAGCTGCTTTCAGTGGAATAAACCTCGCTTTCGGAAAAACGTGCGCCCTTGCCCTTATCTTCCCCATTTCCCCTCAGGTCACTGGAAGACTCATCGCCAGTGCCTCTCCTGGGCTTGCTTTTGAGACCCCTGCCCTCCCATCTTTCTCTTTCCAGATAAGCCCCGCCCATCCTTCCAGTTCAGTTTTGCACGCTGCTTCCTGAGTGGAGTCTTCCCCAACTCCCCACGGTAACGGTGGCCCCTCTCCCCTTGTGTATACCCTTGTGACAGCGATAGACGTGGCCTTTTAGTGGAAGCTTCTTGGGCACATGGGAAGGGAGTTATACCACAGACCACTAAGGCCTGGTAAACGTCTTCTTAACCTACCCCTTCTCCCAGATTTCCATCCCTCGGGCAGCTGTGCTCCCCTCAGTTTTTCTTTTTAGAGTTTCTCCTTCGGCCTTTCCCGGCCTCCCCCTGCACCCTCACTGCCCACACGTGCACTGGGAGAGTCCAGTTAACGTAAATCTGCCCAAACCAACCATGTGCCTCAAGCAGTGCATGAGTCCAGCCACCCACATATTTATCTACTCAGTCTTCCATTTTTTTAAAAATTTTTATTTTATTTTATTTATTTTTATTAAATTGATTGGGGGTAGCATTGGTCAACATGACATATAGGTTTCAGGTGTGGGTTTCTATGTTACAGATCTGTATATTGTACCATGTGCTCACTTCCCAAAGTCAAATCT